GCCCAGGAGTTGGAGGTTGCTGTGAGCTGTAATGCCATGGCACTCTACCCAGGGGGACAGCTTGAGGCTCTGTCTCAAAAAAAAAAAAAAAAAAAGAAAGAAATTGAAGAAGAAATTCTTAAGCAAAAATGAACCACAGCCTAACAATTTTGAAAATCTTAAGTCTGTTTTTACTGCAAAGAATGAGGAAGCAGATTCTACGGAGAGCACTAAGAGTGAGGCTGATTGATCTCTTGTTAAGGTTAGAATGGCTATGAACCAAGAATTAACCTCTTCAGATGGAACCAATGATAGGTACTGCCAGTTGAAATAAAAGCAAAATCATCTGAAATCTTTGGATAGGTCATGGGAGAAGCATAGGGGGAATGAACTGATCCTTAAAGAATATTTTCCTCCAGTGTGTACTGTATAGACAGATTCCAGCTGATTTTGCTGGCTGAAGCAATTCACTCTCTAGAGCCCATTTGTAGGCCAATGAACTTTATTTAGTTTTTTCAACTAAGATGACTGGGTGCTGGTGATCAGGCTGTCTAAATAGCCAGAATCTTTGGGCACTATGACTTATGCCTGTAATCCTAGCACTTTGGGAGGCCCAAGCAGGTGAATTGCTTGAGCTCATGAGTTGATACCAGCCAAAGCAAGAGCCAGCCCCCAAAAGAAAAGAAGGAAAGAAAATAAATAAAAATAAAAGAAAAGAAAAAGAAAAAAATCAGAATCTCTAAGTGAGTTATTTTCTTTTTTTTTCTGAGACAGAGTCTCAAGCTCTCACCCTGGGTAGAGTGCCATGGTGTCATAGCTCACAGCAGCCTCCAACCTCCAAATTGGGCTTAAGTGATCCTCTTGCCTATTTTTCTGTTTTTAGTAGAAATGGGGTATCACATTTGCTCAGGCTGTTCTTGAACTTGTTTACTCAAGTAATCCACCTGCCTCAGCCTCCCAGAGTGCTAGGATTATAGGTGTCAGCTACTGTGCCTGGCCAAAGTGAATTATTTGCTAAAAAAGGGAAGTTCCCATCAGATTAGCCATCCTATGATGCTTTGGGTATCAAATTCTTTTATTTGAGATAGGGTATTTCTCTTTTGCATGGGCTATAGGGCAATGGCTTCATTCTAGGTCACTGCAAGTTCAAATTCCTGGGCTTAAGCAATCCTCCTGCCTCAGCCTCTGGAGTAGCTGGCACTGCAGAGTAGCTGGGACTACAGGGATGGTTCTATAGTCACCACACTGGACTATTTTTTTTTTTTTTGAGACAGAGTCTCACTATGTCACCCTCAGTAGAGTGCTATGGCATCAAAGCTCACAGCAACCTCAAACTCTTGGGCTCAAGCGCTTCTCTTGCCTCAGCCTCCCAAGTATCTGGACTACATGTGCCCAACACAATGCCCAGTTATTTTTTGTTGCAGTTGTCATTGTTTAGCTGGCCTGGACTGGGTTTGAACCCATCAACCTCAGTGTATGTGGCTGGCACTGTAGCCACTGTGCTACGGGTGCTGAGCCTAATTTTTCTATTATTTTCCTGCAAGTTTTATGAGTTCTTTGTCCTTATGCTCTAGATTTCTGTTTGGTTAACTTCTTAAATCCCTTTAATCGTAACACATGCAAAGTTTGTGAACCCATTCCCATGTGTCCACTTTAGCTATCACTGTATTAGTAGGACTCATCTTTTTTACTATTCCTTTTTCAGTCATCATGCAACTTCCTCCCCACCCTACCCCTGCCTTTAACCCCAAATCCAGGGAGGACAAATAAGGCTCTGTTAATAATAGCTCTTTCATTTTACAGTGCAGAATACTGGACTGTCCACTAGAGATGGCAAAATAATGACTCAGTCATCTCCTCTAGACACATGACAGGGAGAGTATTTGTACCCTTTCATTCATATTTTTTGTGTCTTGTCATAGTTGCCCACAGTATGAGTTTTCAGTTCTTTTTCAAGGATGCTCTTGCCAGAGAGGAACAGCCACTGAATTGATTCTTTTTGTGATTTCTGGGGGGATGAAAGCCAAATTGTCTGACTAAGACATCTGAGTGTGCATTTAACCAACTTCTTAGAGAGTGGGAGCTGGCATTATACCTCTAATATAGTGTGTTCTTTCCCAACAGATGACAGGCAAGAGGGCAGTGACAGCATATGTACAGATAGGGAGGTAGGGGCCAAGAGAAGCTTTTTGTATTTATCTTCGTGATTGTCTTCTTGTCTGGGACTTCCTCCCCTATGACTTTACTTTTTTTTAGATTAATGCAAAAAATACAATACTTCTGTTAAAAGTATCTTTTTTTTTGCAGTTTTTGGCCGGAGCTGGGTTTGAACCTTCCCACCTCTGGCATATGGGGCCAGCGCCCTAATCCTTTGAGCCACAGACACTGCCCTTTTAAAAGTATCTTACTTGTCTTCTTGTGCACTTGTAAAATTTTCTCTAGGGTATGTATCTAGAAATAAAATTTCTAATTTGTAGTTTCTATGCATCTTTCTACATAGAACACCAAATTGATATCCCAACTGGTTATATCTATATATGTCATCGCTTATTAACCACCAATATAGAAGATTTTTCTTTGTTCTGCATCCAAGGGAAACCATAAGGTAATTCAGAAACTGCAAGAGAATTTTTTTCAGCAAATTTTTATTGTATCTCTACTCTGTATACCAAAAAAATCAGTCATCTGCAGAAAACAAATTTATTTTCTAGCTAACAGAAAGGAACTCTACTTACACTCAGCATACAATAGAATCCTTTGCTCAAACAATGTAGGAATATACCACTGATAGGCTGATGTTAGTCATAAGATTCTATTACAAAATAACCAATGGCTAGAAAATAGAAAATTGGCCACATTCAGCCTGAATAGTAGAATGTTCTAAGGGAATATCATCCTGATTGTGACATAGAATGGATCCTGACCCAGGAGGAGGTCACATATTTTCTCTGTCTCTTGCCATCTCTACTAGAGCAGAGGGAACTCTACTTTTAATATTAGCTAGCTTCATAGTCAGCCCTGGATTTGATAGGAGATGTGTGAAATTAAGAGCATGTATACTTTTGAATTGGATTGTGAATTCTCTATTTTTTGAGGAAATGTTGAATTTTATGTATGAATTTACCACTAAAATAGCATCTTGTCACACATTACTATATACTTGAGAAGTTTCTCGTGTGATGAAAAACTGAATTTTAAATTTAATTTTAATTAATTTAAATTAAAATAGCTACTTGTGGCTTTTGGCTACTATGCAGGTCTCATAAATATTTAAAAATATTCTGTTTATAGAGATAGGTGTGTGTCCAAACTTGTGTTCAAAAGCTACTATTTGTCATGGCCTATTTTGCAATTTCATTTTCATAATACCCTGTGAGGAAGATATCTTTTATTTTACAAATGAGGAATACATCATTCAGAGAGGATAAGATACTTGCTAAGGATTACACACACCATAGATTTTAAAACCCAGGTTTATTTGCTTTCTTTAAGTCTATAGTCTTCATCATGAATG